TGTGCTGCTTCATATTTTTGTGGAAACCGTGATACATTTTAGTTTTCAGGATTCTTTGATGAATAGAACAATAAAAAGAACAGAATTTATTTGAAATATATATTTTTTGTAACATTATAAATGTATTTATATTTATATAAACACTTTTCATCAATTTAATGCATCCTTGATGAATACAAATTATTATTTTTTTTCTTTTTAAAATCTTACTTGCTCCAGACTTTTGAATGGTATCATGGTTTCCACAAAAAATATTGTGCAGCACAACTGTTTTCAACATTGATAATAATCAGAAATGTTTCTTGAGCAGCAGATCAACACTGAAGACTGGAGTAATGATGCTGAAAATACAGCTGCGCATCACAGAAATAAATTACAGTTTAACAGATATTCACATAGAAAACAACTGTTTTAAATCATAATAATATTTCACTATTTTTACAGTATTTGTGATCAAATAAACGCAGCTTTGGTGAGCAGAAGAGACTTCTTCTGGGTCTTCAGTACAGTAGTGTAGGTGTCTCTCACCTCCAGAGGAAACGCAGGCTGCTCGTTATAAACCCTAACGAAGATCTCTCCCACGATCAGCTCCTTCCCGTGCTCACTGAACAGGAACTCTGAGCCGAAGCTCTTGTCGCACTCGCCCTGCAAACACACAGAGAGTGAGTGTGATCTGAATCAGAGGAGTGTGAGGAGCAGCAGAGGATCGTGAGGAGCGTCTCACTCTCTTGATGTTGCTCTCCTGCTGCTCCTCCAGGAACTCCATCAGCTCCGCTCGCGTGCCGTTGTTCCAGATCAAGTACGGCGTCTCCGAGTTACTGTTCAGCAGCTTCAGGACCTGCAGAACCAACAGATGAACCACAGCTCAACACACAGCCACTGTCCATCTATCCTTCAACCCTCAAACTGCTCACATCACAGCAGCACTAGTGCTGGCACAATACCAAAACTTGACTTTGACATGATACCTGACTAAAACATCTCAACACTACTACTGAAGCAGTGGAGGCCAGAGAAACTCTAAATACACCCCGCAGAAGAAAGATAAACCATATATTGTCGCAGTCTTGTGTTTATTAGTCACGCTGAATCAATGAAAGTATTTGGAGTTTCTCTGGCCTTTGGATGGAGATTTACTGCTGATCACAGAACCCTGCTTCACTGAAAGATACGCACGACTATCGCATTCGATTAATCATGCAGCGCTAACTGCATTACACCGTCTCAGCATACAGCAGCAGCAGTTACACGATATACTCTGCTACAACCCTGATTCACTGAAAGATGCGCACGACTATCACAGCTTCTGTCTGATCGCGACTGTGATGTAATTTGGATTAATGGTGCGGCCGCTAGCGCAGCGGCTGCTCCTCTGTACCTCGGCGGGCGAGCTGCGGCTCAGTCTGCGTGAGATGTAGGGCGTCAGCATGGCCCCCAGGCTCTTCCTGATTGCACATATGTAAAGCACGTGGAAACTTTCAGCTGTAATGCAATCACATACAGCAAGTGAGATCACACAGGACCGCAGCCAGACTGAAATCAGTGCAGAATCATGGCACTGTTCAGCATGAGCTCAATGATCAAATCTCTGACTGTCCAAACGCCCTTCTGCTCCGATCTGTTCAGCACAACACGCCTTTATATGCAAGTGTCCCTGCACCTTTACAGCTGCTGTGTGTCTGTGTGTAAAGCTCAAGAGCAAACACTCGCTGACATGCTGCTGTGCTGAAATCTCTTCACAAACTATGAGCTCAAGACTCTTAATAAACTCTGACTGGATGAACTGCATTTAAAGCGGTTGATAAATGCACATTTTATCCGGGTTTGCAATGTTAGACTGAATTAAGCGTCCCAAGTGTCTGCACCAAAACACTTCATAACAGTCTCACTTTTATGAAAACAAAATATGATTTACATATTTAAAAATTATATATATTGTATATACACTACTGTTCAGAAGATTGAAACACTTAACATTTTTCAATGTTTTTGAAAGAAGTCTCTTCTGCTCACCAAATCTGCATTTGTTTGTTCAAAAATACTGTAAAAAATTTATATTGTAAAATATAATTTCAATTTAATGGTCAGATACAATTTAATTCACCAGTGATATTTTCCCAGGATTTTTTGATGAACGGAAAGTTCAAAAGAACAGCATTTATTTGAAATAGAAATCATTATTTTAACATTATAAATGTATTTACTGTCACTTTTGATCAATTTAAGGCATCCTTGATAAACAAAAGTATTCATTTATTTTATTTTTGTTCTTTTCTTATAAAATTTTTCCACAATAATATAGTGCAGCACAACTGTTTTCAACATTGATAATAATCAGAAATGTTTCTTGAGCAGCAAATCAACACTGAAGACTGGAGTAATGATGCTGAAAATACAGCTGCGCATCACAGAAATAAATTACAGTTTAACAGAGATTGACATAGAAAACTGCTGTTAGAAATTGTAATAATATTTCACAATATTACTGTATTTACAGTATTTTTCATCAAATAAATGGAGCCTTAGTGAGCAGAAGAGACTTCTTTCAAAAACATTTTTAAAAATCCCAAACATTTGACCATCAGTGCTTGAATGATCAGAGAGTTTAGCAGTGGATCTTCTAAATTCAGAAACACTGTGATTCTGCTGTGACAGTGTAATGGTTGTTTATGAAAAAAAAAACATAATCTGCTGAGGAACAGAAAAGTATTAAAACAGAGATTATTGTATGTTTTAAAAAAAAAGGAATAACTTTTTTTAATTGATTGATTGACTGACTGATTGATTGATTTTTATTTATTTATTTATTTATTTATTTTTGGCCAACAGTAATGGTTATTGTAAGTTCCAGCATCTTGTAAAACATGTCCTGAGTGAAGTTGCTCGTGCTGGGCATCTGTTCGCACAGGCAGGCCTGCTTTAAAATCAAATAAAGCGCTTGTACGGCACTTTCGCTGACTTCATACTCTGGGAATCTGAACCTGAACTTGATTCTTGTGATTCCAGAAGTTTCTAGGTAAGAGTGTTCGGTGTTATCAACAGAAGTGACATCATGTCTTGAGTCGAACCCTGTTATCGGTAAGAAGCCTCTGTGTGATGAATGAGTCAAACGATCAGCAATCAGCTGTTGAGCTTAATGTGGCATGACAGGGAGATGAAGGAGATAAAAAACGCCCTGAGATCTCGTTAACAATGAACGACAGACGTTAGACTGACTTTAATTGAGTAGTACGTCTGAGCAGCAGATCAGTTCAGGCCGTGTTGTGGAGAAGACTGTCAAAGCGCATTAAAAACCCTTACAGTTCTAATTAGCCAGAGGAATAATGTGTGTGAAATTGGGAAAAGCTTCTGTTAGATGAGCGAACACGCAGAGCAAATCCGTTGTTTCTGTCATGCGGCGGTCCCTGGATGGTCAATATCCCGTTTCAGAGCGAGTCTCGCTCCAGCCTGTTGCTCTTGGCTTCCCACCAAAGCGTCAAACTATGAACATTGTCCAGTCATGGCCTGAAGCGCTGAAGCAGCACTGTCGGAGGCCTGCACATGTTTGAGAGTCCTGCGATGATACGTCCCTCGTACACCGGACGATACGAGCATGTATTTGAGCGACCGCAGCGCTCTGTTCTGAGAGCAGATAATCAGGCCTGACTTCCTGCAGGCGTTTATCAGCCGCTCTCATGAGTGCTAGCTCTGATGCTGAGAGAACGAGACTCGAACCCTGCAGTCAGACCGAGTACAGTGAGCGTCTGCTCTCTAGATATGACACGTGATCGCTTAAAACACACCAACAGCGGAAAAACACAGAGGGATTGTCAAAATCTAATATTAGAAATGTGTTCTTTGAGTCAATGACAAACAAGAGCGTCCACGTTAAAGGAAAGTTCTCACAAATGTAGTCTTTATATTGGTTTCATATGGTATTGAAAATACAACATTGATGTCCTTAAATCTAGAATCCATGGTAGTGTATTTTTACTACGTGACATTTCTACAGGGCTGCTCTATATGATGTCATTTCCATTTTTTTTTTTTTTCTGTTTTTCTACAGAAGTTGGTAGGAAAGAATTTCTCAAATATCAGTAAGCAGTGAAGCAGTTTGTTAAGATATAGATGTTTTTCTTTCTTTCTGGGAAATAACAAAAGTTTATTCCAAATTACTTAGTAAGGTTCTCTGTTTTATTTTTTTTTCCTTCAACATGATATCACTGTAATTGACTTTATGTCAATAAATAAATAAATAAATAAATTAAATTATTATAAATTAAATTAATAAAAATATTTTTTTAAATAATATTAAAAATGTAAAAATAAATCATGCTTATCATAGAAAAGAAGTAATTTTATGAATAGCATTGTTTATGTATTTTCAATAAATTAATATATTCATTCAAAAATACATTAATACAACAAAAATGTAATGTCATTAAATCCAGACCAGCTCTTGATATTTATTTCTAATTGCCAAAACACACTAATGACTAAGAGCCTGTATGATGGGGTGATTAATTTATGTCAATAAATAAATAAATAAATAAAAATTATTATAAATTAAATTAATAAAAATATTTTTTTAAATAATATTAAAAATGTAAAAATAAATCATGCTTATCATAGAAAAGAAGTAATTTTATGAATAGCATTGTTTATGTATTTTCAATAAATTAATATATTCATTCAAAAATACATTAATACAACAAAAATGTAATGTCATTAAATCCAGACCAGCTCTTGATATTTATTTCTAATTGCCAAAACACACTAATGACTAAGAGCCTGTATGATGGGGTGATTAATAACCCATATTGAGAGTCATATTCTGCAGATCACAGCAGGGTTCAGACGGTGCTGCTTTAGCTCCCTCCATCGGTCAGCAACAGAACAGATAATGCTTCATGTTTCCAATCATCCCGTTCCAGCTTCAGCATCTTATCAAACTGATCAATGAATCTTCACGTCCTCACGAGCCGTAATGCTGCATTACTCAAACATCTACAGCTTTATGAAACAATTCAACGTCCTAATGAAATGTGCTTTGAATTACAGTTAATAGATATGAATCCCTGTGATGAAGAATGCCAGTCATTCACAGGAAGATTCATATACTGCATGACATGCAGCCGAGGAGAAAATAAACCCTGATAGATGAGCATGTTTATGTTAGGTTATTGAGTGCTGGAGAAACTGGACTGAAAACAGAGAGCGAGAACTGTTCATGTGTGTGTCTGTACGTGATCACATGAGTCTGTTCATGGAAGAAATCCATCTAATGGCATTTCTGCTCACAGGCACTAAAGCATCTACTATAATTAAATATTTGCAGTTTAAATGTTGCTTAATACTTCTACCTGTGAATTAATCTTATGTGCATACTGTAAGTTGTGTAAATGCTGTTTTTAATGCGTCTGTCTACTGGCCATTGTGTTAATCAGTGCTTTATTTCATTAGTGTTTTATAGTGTATTAGTGTCAGATTCTAAAACCTGAAATCAAATCTGAATAGAAATGATTTGGGGGGTAAAAAAGTAAAAAATAAAATAAAATAAATAAATAACAAATATCCCAAATGTTGCAATATTTATAGTTGTAACATTAATAATGTAACAAAAGATTTATATTTCAAATAAATGCTGTTCTTTTGAAAGAAACTTCTTTTAAAACTATTTGGCTCAGGAGACACTGAACTTCCAAACAGAAGAGAATCACAACAAGCCAAAGCTTCGCTGTGAAAGCAAACTACTTCAGGACAGTAAGGTTGATGATACACGGGGCAACTTTGAGCAATGTAGCCGTCAACGGGAAACCAGGTGAGACACAGGGCCCACAACTGACCTAAAGTATCCAGATAAAAATTTGTTACCCATTCTCAATGGGAAAGTGCCCAAGAAACATTGCTCAAAAAGTTGCCCCGTGTATCAAAAGCCTAAAAATATCCTCTCTGAACTCCTGCTATACTGCTCTCGTTTACTGCCCTCTGATGGCATTGGAAGGTTACTGCATTTAGAGTTCATACACAGCACATACAAACATATCATACATGACTACAATGCTTTTACATGGAAAATCCTCATTGACTGAAATAGAGAAGGAATCTGTATGTGAAGTACAGTAGAATGTGCATTAAACAAATTAGGCTTAAAGGGCAACTGAACACAGACCTCACTTACATTATACAGCCTGAAAAACATAAAACATTAGATACCTAAGATAAAACCATAAATATGATATAACATTAATTTACAAGTCACCAACAAAAACTGAACAGGTTTGCAAAGACAATGCACTACTGGTTTGCATCAAATTAAGAATTTGCATAATTATTACTTATGATTCACTGTCCAGTGCCGCTGTTGTCTGTTTGTTTGTTTTGTTCCTCTCTTTCTTTAAGGTCTGAAGTCTCTGTTTGTCCCTCCTCTGTTCCCGTCCATCTCAGAGCTCCACCCCCGATAAT